GAGTATCAGGGGTGCACAAGAAGAGGAACCACCAGATCCACAGCTGATGCGGTTGGACAACATGCTCATAGCCGAGGGTGTGGCCGGGCCTGAGAAGGGCGGAGGATCAGCGGCGGCAGCAGCAGCGGCAGCGGCATCGGGCGGAGGACTGGGTCAACCTGAGAACGCCATTGAACACTCGGACTACAGGGCCAAGCTGGCTCAGATCAGGCAGATCTATCACACAGAGCTGGAGAAATACGAGCAGGTGAGACATCATGAAGAGGAGCCAATGGCTTCATCCTTTCAGGGCTGTCCGTCTCTGGGTTACAGTTCCAGGGGGGTGTTTCACAAAGATCCTAAGTTAAACTTAACTCTAAGTTAGACGTAACAATTATGGAAAGCCGTTAGCATCTTTGAAAATATTTTGTAAAAATTATTTTAAAAGGCATAAAATGTTGATTCAAATCATTCACATTTTCCATTATCAAGGAGATTTCATATTCTTGATGTGGAATTTATGAAAAGTCTAAAATACTTCAATATTTGCTTTTGAAAATATTTTATTTTGAAAATATTTTATTTTAAGGCTACAAATGGTTCTCCATAATGTTAAGTCCAACTTAGAGATGAGTTAAACTTAGGACCTTTGTGAAACACCCCCCTTGAAAACCAAACTTTCCAAGTGGATAAAATGGATATGAACTTTGTGAGAGGTCACAATAATCTAAAGATACATAGTGTAAATTTCAGTACTGTAGCTTTGCATTTCAAGAAAGTTTCTTCCCGCAGAAACGACCATCCAATAAAGATGGCAAAAGTAACTGTTTTTTACTCTTGGAAGCAAAGATGCAGAACTTATCAGTAGCAAAAAGCAAGAAGACATGACGTTTCTTAATTTTCTTTGTTCACAGCTTAAAGATGTGATAAAGCGGAAGAAATAGGAAGGAAAAAAGATGACGTATGCTGACAGCTAGAAGGGCATTAAACTATTCATAAAATAATATGAACAAGCGTTCTGGCACTCAGCAGATGATATAATCCATGTTGTCTGCAAAGTAGCCAAGTCAGAATTGTTCCCATACTGGCTATTCTTAACATCTTATCTGTAATGTTCTCACCAGAACATGACGCAACATGTATCATACCAACTTACAAGGTTCTGGAGTTAAAGGTCTATGAGTGTTCTCACCAGAACACTACGCAACATTTATCATAACAGCTTACAAGGTTCTGGAGTAAAAGGTCTATGACTGTTCTCACAAGAACACTACCCAACATATATCATACCAACTTACAAGGTTCTGGAGTTGTACATTTGTAGGTCTATGACTGTTCTTACAAGAACACTATGTAACATTTATCATACCAACTTATGCCCTCCTCTTCTGACTCCCAAGCAGGCCTGTAATGAGTTCACAACGCACGTCATGAACCTTCTCCGCGAACAGAGCAGGACGCGACCCATCGCGCCCAAGGAGATCGAGCGCATGGTCAGTATCATCCACCGCAAATTCAACGCCATCCAGGTTCAGCTGAAGCAGAGCACTTGCGAGGCTGTCATGATCCTACGCTCACGGTTCTTGGACGCCAGGTAAGATCATCTTAAAGTTTCCAAAACCTCAGGGTTTTGTGTTGAGAATGATAGTATTTGTTGCAATATTGAGACTCAATGGGTCAGAGACTCAGCGGAATGAAGAGATTCTTTAAACCATGATCCTACGCTCACGGTTCCTGGACGCCAGGTAAGATCATCTTCAAGATTCCCGAATCTCAGGGTTTTGTGTCGAGAATGACGTTATGTTATCGTCACTCTGTTGAGACTCAATGGGCCAAAGGGATGAAGAGATGTCTTTGAACCAGTAGGCCTTCACAACTCTCTTGGTCTCTTGATGCCAGGTAAGATCATCTTTGAGATTCTCAAACCTCTGGGGTTTTTGTTGAGAATGATGGTATGTCACTCTATCGAGACTCAATAGATCAGAGGAAAGAAGAGATGTCTTTGAGCCAGAAGGCCTTAATGGCTCAGTCTTGTCTCTTTGATGCCAGGTAAGATCATCTGTGAGATCCCAAACCTCAGGGATTAGTGTTTGAATGACAGTATGTCCACTCTATTAAGACTCAGTTGGTGAGAGGGATGAAAAGATGTCTTTGAACCAGAAGGTCTTCACAACTCACTCTTGGTCTCTGGATGCCAGGTAAGATCATCTTTGAGATTCCAAAACCTCAGGGTTTTGTGCTTAGAATGCTAGTGGGTCACTCTATTGAAAGTCGATAGTTCAGAGGAATAAAGAGATGTCCTAAAACCAGAAGACCTCTGTGACTCTCTCTTGGTCCTTAGAAGCCAGGTAAGATCATCTTCAAGAATCTCAGACCTCAGGGTTCAGTGTTCAGAATGACAGTGTGTCACTCTATTGAGACTGAATAGGTGAGAGCGATGAGGAGATGTCTTTGAACCAGGAGGCCTTCATGACTCGATCTTGTTTTCTTGATGCCAGGTAAGGTCATCTGAGAGATTCCCAAACCTCAAGGTTCTGAGTTATGAAAAACAGCATGTTGAGACTTAATGGTTCAGAAGAAAGAGCAGTAGACTTTGAACCACTTCTGTTTGATTAGATAGCAACAAAATTAAACTATCCAAATTGTCCTTGTTAGCCATTTTCAAATGGGAGTCACCATTTTGACACTACGCTGAAACCGCAGAGACCATGAAGTCTTCACATTAAAAGTTGTTTCCAGAAATTAAAAATATGTCAGTATCAACTCATAAGTACAAGGATACCCTGTTTTTGTTTTTAATTGAAATCAGCTGTACTGTACTGGCCATTATATCAAATCTTAGAAGATGGACCATTATTAAAAATGGGCTTGATTATTATCACACACAACTTTTCAAGGGTTCAGTTTATATTCTTTTCTTTGGATAACACCATTGTTCAAACTCTAAAGATGAATTTCAGACTTTGGAAAAGTTTTTTTAATTTCTGGCTATACAACATAGTCAATAACAACTAATGTATTCATGGATTTATTTCATTTGGTTCACTACCCTTCCATATAAATCAAGACCTCTAGGTTCCAGGACCACCATTCATAAATTCGTCTTATCTTCTCTCTTTGTCTTTGCAGGAGAAAACGAAGAAACTTCAGTAAGCAAGCAACAGAGATCCTCAACGAATACTTCTACTCCCATCTTAGTAATCCATACCCAAGTGAAGAAGCAAAAGAAGAACTAGCAAGAAAGTGCGCCATCACAGTAGCACAGGTATGGACTGTTCAAGCTGTAAATTTAGCGTAATCGTATCTTTGCATAAGTGGACAATCCACTCCCTGGAGAGCATTCCAGCCAGGCATCATTTTTACAAGCGCACACTTGCTAAACTAAGCATATTAGCTATCGCATCCTACCAGGTACCGATTTAACACCTGCTGCAATGATAATTAAAATCCTGTAGGTCAGTCAGGAACCCCATGACTTTCACAAGCCGATCGCCTGTCTGATTATCAAGATATTTATGATTGGAAATCAAAATTCCAAAATTTGTTTTCTTAACGGTTTATAGAACACTACAGTCTACTGGGGAAAATGAATATGGTAAAACCGGTCACTCAAATATTTTTATGTTTTTGAGGCACTTCATGATCATTTTAAAGCGCAATTTTTTTTAGGGCTTCAATATTACACCATATCACAAACACTGATAACACGTAGGGCCATGTATCTCAGATTTAACATTGTTAAATGATGCCTTTAACATGTACATTATGTGTTTCTTTAGGTATCCAATTGGTTTGGTAATAAGAGGATCCGCTACAAGAAGAACATCGGCAAGGCCCAGGAGGAGGCCAACCTCTATGCTGCAAAGAACGCCGCCTCGGCCGTCTCCAGTGTCAACCCGTCCAGCCAATCACAAGCCTCGGCCGGCTCCCAGGAGGGGCAGTCACCGGGCACGCCCACCTCGGGCTCGGGAGGGGGCGGCGGGGGCGGCGGCTACGGCATGTCATCGGGCGGGGGCATGATGGGGAGCGGAGGGGAGTACATGGGGATGCAGAACGGCGACAGTTACCAGCTGCCAAATCAAGTGGGTGCCAACGTTCAGTCCCAGGTATTGAGATGTGTGCGGTGATGGTAGGATAGATTAATTTATTTTAAAAGGGTGGGGGGGGGGGGGGGGGTTAATATGGTAGTTTTTTTTATCCCTTTTTTATCAAACTTCTTAAGGTTATGGGTACAATTAGCCAAAGACTCGAGTGCAAAGACACTACCAATGTTACCTTGAAAAGAATATACTAAATGCTTTTATATCCTTACAGACAGAAATATTAGGTGAAGCATTTCCTTATGGCATCAAAATATTTTCTGTCTTACAAGGCAGTGAGTTTTCTTTATTTCTAAGCTAAAGATTTAAGGATGGGACTTGGGATTGAGGGGCATATTTTTATTTATTTATTTTTTTTTTTTGGGGGGGGGGGTAACTTAATCATTTTTTTTGGTGGACTGAGAGTGCTGGATGGTGGGTGAATGGAAGTGTGCTGCTTGATGTGGGGATAGAATGAAAAAAAGACAAAATTAATCTTATTGGAAGTCTAGGATAGAAATCGTAGGATCTAGATTTTATTCTAATTAGCAAGGGATATTTCTCTGAAGTGTGCATGGAGTGGTGTGAATGAGTGAACAATTATTATTTGTATTTCATTGAATTCATTGAATGCATTGAATATGTTTGTAATTTGAATTAAAAATTCTTGTAGTACATTGTGAATGGTAACAAATAAACCGTTACTTAATTTAATAGTCGGGCAACGATAAAGATGCCCAAGCTAATTTACTGTGGCTTGTACCATTGTTATTTACTATAAAAGTTGTTTCATTGGATGTACTCTTACTGCTTGCTTTCAGTGGAAGCTCTGAAGTTTAAACTGATCATTTCATAAACTTGCTTGTACAGTTAACAGATTCGTTCACAAGATTTTTTTTTTTAGGAGAGTACAACATATATATTCACCTTTCCTTTGATTTCTATCATGCAAAATAATTGAGACAATTTTACAAATTAGTTGGTCTACTTGTCAAGACTTTGGGTCTGCTCCCACATTGAAGGCTCGTTCACACACGACTAGATGAACTGAAGAGGAAGGGCATTGGCTGGGGTTTCAAAATACAATAAATTCTTATGAATGCCCTTGCTAATGGCTCTCTGCCTGGGATACAATGCTGAAATCTGTTAAAATATGATATCATGATATATGCCTAATGAGCATTTGGTAATCATTTCTAATTTCATTTTCACTCTCGTTCTCTCCCACTTTCTTCCCCTCTCTTCTTCTGCCTCCTATCTTGCCCTACTCTAATCTCTTCTCCCCTCCCCTCCCCTTTCTCTCTCTCTCTCTCTCTCTCTCTCTCTCTCTCTCTCTCTCTCTCTCACCCCTTCTGTTTTTCCTCCCTTTTCCTCTTACACCTCTTTCCTATTTCACCTTCCCTCCCTCCCTCTCTCTCACCTCCACTACCCCCTACAGGTGGCGAGCTTAAGACAGGTCATATCACAGACAGGTAGTTACAACAGCGACAGCCTGCCCCCTCACTCCCAGCCACCGTCCATCTACAACCCCTCATCCCTGGGGCAGTACCCCTCGGGGAGGGCAAGCGGGGACATGGTAGGTGCAACATGACCCCCCTCTCTCTCCCCCTTCCCCCAATCGTAATCGTCATCATAACCACCACCATCATCATCATCATCATCAGCAACCTCACGACACCACCTCTCTCCCTTACTATGACACTTCAGATACCTTTCAAAAGGGGTTGGGATTTAAGTCGGAGGGGATGCAGCAGTTTATGTCTCGTTAACACTGACAAGTTGAATAACGTTTATACCGTTTGCGTTGTGTGCCATCCCTTTAGCACGCATCGTATCAATGGAACGTTTCCCTGTATGTGTGGACACTTGCAAGGGATCTTAAGGGTAAGGACCACAATAAGTTTTTCCCCCTGCCACCTATAAAATTTTTCTTCTTCTAATTGTCTGATGAGAATAAGAAAGGCATCGACTCTATTTTGAAGTAGATATATATAGGAGGTAATGCCCTTCTTGCCCTCAGCATATGATTTGATCAGAAAATAGACCTCAGGCCCACTATCATGTGGGTGAAGGAAACAAAACTTCAAGTCATAGTCAGGCCAGAACTTCAAAGACCCTGCAAAAAAATCGGCAGGAAGCTTGAACCAAATGTGAGCTAGAAAAAAGCTAGGGATGTTCAATTTTACTGCTAATTTCAGTTTACCAAAATATGGAAATATTGAGAATGATTCGAATCTATAGAGGATCTCTGTGAGAAGCACTCTTCCACAATTTCCTTGAGAACCATCAACATCCCGGGGCTGTTTTGTCTTTCTCTTTTGTTAAACGCTGCATTCCCTCCCTCCCAAGTCCCCACCCCTTCATACCACACATTGGGTGCCAGGAGGTCCATTCCGCTCCTGTCATACATACGCAACATTGAATCCATTGTAAATTATGCCAAACCCAAGACCATGTACAATAGGAAATATTAACCACCGATATCTTGACGCAAATGATCTAGAGTTTAGTGTAAATCTTTAAAAGGGAAAGAGGCACAGTTTTTTTTAGAGTGCCAAGAAATAATCAGTGAAATCATTGGCACAAGTGTTGTTTTTGTTTTTAGGTTGATGGCATTAATTTTTTTTTTTTTTTAAGTCCCTTTTTTTTAAAGCCACTTTAATTTTCAGCAATGCAAAGTTGGTGCCAATTAAATTTGAATAAGTTTTATTTGAATGAGACAATTTTGTTTCTCCTGTAGCCAAAATCTAGTGATTTCCAACAAACTGTCTTTACCATTCCAAAAAGATGCCAGTTAGATTATCTCAGCCATTTTTTTTAAATGCAGTCCCACATTACTTATTTTTATGCTGGCTTTAAGCAATGCAAAACCAGGCAAAGTAACGATAATTGAATTATTTCATTTGTTGTTTTTAACTTCTTGTGCCAATGAGTTCACCACGATTCAAAGCAACAATTTGTCTTACATGTATGTAAATATATAACTGTGGTAGATTCATTTGTATGTCCACACAAAATATCCTTGTAAGGCATTTGTGCCAAACAGATTGATTTTATCAATGGTGCATGAATACTAGGCAATTTTTCAAACTTTTTCAAAATATGTTTTTATTTTTACTTTTATTTTGCCATATTTATTTGGAAACTGGGTCCACAGGTGACTTCCAAGTGAGAAATGAAGCTTCTTTTGTTTTTTTAAACATCATATTAGATTTTGAATAATTATATTTTATTGCTCTATTTATAGTTATGCTATACAACAGTACAGCATGTAGCTTAGGAATTCAGTTATGAAACTCGCTTTTTAAATTTATTTATTTGTCTTTAGGGGAATAACAAAATTGCCTATTTGTAATGACTTCAACTTAAGACATAAAGATAGCTGTTGTCATAGAGAAAATAAAAAGAACTTTGATTCTCAAGAGAATAGTTTATAGTTATACTTTATGATCTTTGATAGGAAGTTAGGTTTGTGTAACATTGTACCAGGCTGAAGTTTGTTGTAATAGGATTCCAAAACATATTTTTAATGCATGAACTAATCATAAGATATCAAAATACCTTTTGGTATAGAGAAAGAGTAAACATAAAGAAATGGTAACGATGATTTCATAATTAGTCAAGATGCATAGACAATTATTTTGATCACTATTGGAATCATGAAAGTGCTACAAATTAAACCGTTGATTGAACAGTTTCTCCATCATCATGACAGTATGTATGAATTTTGAGAGGGAAGACTTGATTATTAGTATTATCGAATTTGGATGATTCTATCAAGCTATGAGTTTTGCAAATTAAAAGCTTATACCTTTATGCATAATATTTACAATTTTGAAAATTTAACTTATAAACTCAATTTTACTCTTGATATAACTATCGATATAGCAAGCCCAAACAATGCCTGATGCATTGTTAGAGCCCTATGACATTGTTATTTTATTGGATAAATAATCTATCAAGATCTTTATTAGGAATGTAATTTATAGCTTTTTAAAATTAAAATTACCTGCACATTCCTATTAATCAGCGTTGATCCCAATAATTTAGGGATTAGAAAATTGATTAAAAGATAAAGGCAATGTTGTGGTATCTTCCAATGAAGTCAATTTGAAAATGAATTGTATAATATATATCTAAAACAGTATCATTCTTTTCATTATGCAATTATTGGTGGAGAAAGACAATGCCTGTCATTGCAACATGTTAATCATGAAGCCCATCACACACTGCACGATCCCATTACAATTCGATGTTGAAATGAAATTGCGATATCATTAAATATGAAAATTCAAATGTGTTATGTCCTTGAAGTTTGAGGTTCTTAATACTTGAATAAAAGTGGAATTTAAACATTCAGGGTTATTGCGGGCCTTCTGGAAGGAGAACAACAAAAATTATTGGATGCAAATCATATTGACATCAGACCGCTTTAATAGAAGCCAATAATTTTTTTTCTCCATATTTAAGGTCTACAATAGTACAGTTCCTCATGATTATAATTTCACTTTTGATATGACCACTAGGAATCTAAATTTGGAAGATCTTACGTTTTAATTCTTATATGTCATATTGCAATTTCTTTCCAAATAAATCAGATTAAACTAGGATCGTAAAGTACCGGTATGTGATGGGCTTCAGACGATAATTCTATATGTGAATATCAAATATTGCGAGAAATGAAGATTATTCCTTGGTAATTGGACTATGATTTCCCTCCTCCAGCTGTTGTATATGTGATTCCTGTTTTCCTTTTTTTTCTCTCTCTCTCTCTTTCTTGATTTTGACTTGTATTTATGCCGTGTACATGTATATTGTATAGTAAATGGTCAGCACATGTAACTAAAAAAATAAAAACAAAAATCAGTGCCAAGAAAAATCTCTGCCATTTTTGATTTGTGCTTCTTACACGATGCCTAGCCCTCGTCATATTTTTAATTCAGTGATGGATTCGTAGCTAACAAACATGTGATTGTTTGCAATAATTCCTTTAAAACATACAATGTGTTCATTGTCATACAAGTAGTAGCACGTTGTGTCAAATATATTCTAACGTTTAAGTTTTGGGGAACCCTCCTGAAAACACAACACATTGTTTACCAAACCAGTTAATTGTTGATAATAAAATCCCTTCAGTAAGATCAATGTTATTTCATTGAAAGCAAAAAATATAAGAAGAAATTAAATAGTTTTGGAGAAAAATTAGTTAAAAGATTTCACCAAAAAAAATTCATGTTGTGAATATCAGAGACAAACTGGCAAATATATCCATTTTGTTTGTCCACATTAATGTTCTTTTTTTTCTCTCCTCATTTTACGGAAAGAAGAAGTGGATATTGGGTGACACATGAAGTTACTTCAACTAAGTTGTAATTTACTGCTTTATTTTTATGACTTCAAAAAAAAAAAAAACTTTTTTTTAGCGGAACCAAGTTGCCAGTTTGTCGATGATCTTCCTCCATGGAAAAAGAGATCAGTTACTTAATTATTTATTTGCTTTTTCTCAGCAGGATGACATGATCCGTTTCTTTTATTTTCTGCTTTCATTAGAAATAACTTGATATTAAATAGGAGGGAGTTGCCCTTTGACCTGCTTATCAATATTTTACCGTCATCATCATTATCATCAATCATCATCATCATAGCTGTCATAGAATGATCTTTACCGCTAGTTAATTATGTATGTCTAGATCCTGAGGAGAAATGGAAACCTGATTAATGAAATGCTTTCATACCCAGTGTTTCCATACTCCCTCGGGAGTTGGATTCACTAGAAAAAAAATTCCTAGAAAGGAGAAAAGTGTCATTATAACGTCCTACATTAAGACAGATTTAGAATTATAACCTAGCATTGCCTTAACAGATTAATGCAGTCATTAACATGTAGTTTGCCTCTAATATAGATAGCAGTAATATCCTTGATATATAACATTCCTCCCAGTTATCAACATATGAAATAATTACACTACACACAGCAATTACATCATTTAAAAACCTTTTTCATGATAATAATCAGATTGATTTTATTTTCCACATCAAACTAGTAAATGTTTAATTAGCTCTCCAGTCAATTTTTTTCCTCCAATTTACAACTAAATATTTTTCTGTATTCAAGTCATCACAGAACATGATTTGCTGTTAATATTTCTTTAAAGATAGAAAAGAAACCAAACTTCTGCTTCGATATTCTATGCATGGTGTTCTAACTCCCACGGCCTGACTAATGCCCTAACCTCTTTCCCCCTTTTCAAAACTATTCCCTCTCTCTTTTTATACTACCTGCACTTTAATTCTCTTTAGCAGTCAATTCTTTGTGTATATATTGTTTGTTTACATTGACTGTAAACAAAAATATGCGTCAATGCCCTTCTGGGTTTCAACAGATGATATTCGATAGTTCATTACCAAAAACAAAAAAATGAAATTATGAATGAAAGTATTCTCAACAGTACAAGAAAATACAGGAACGAGTAACCGAAAAGACTGAAAATATTCATCTATGAGAATATTGTGGTCGTTAACAAATTGTTCATCAAGAAGGTTTAATAATAAACCAAGAAAAGCTTTAGGCTACCGGTAGCTTGTCATGTTAGAAGATTTGGAAACAATAATAGATCCATCTACACATTAAAAAAATATTTAAAAAATGAAGAGTAAGTGTAGTTGCTTAGCAACCTTTATGCAAGTAACATCGCGATGTTAGTAATATCGTGATGTTTTGATCATCATGTAAATAGGCCTCTTGAGAGATGTAGAGAGAGGAGGAGAATAGATGTAATGATGTGTTATGCAATAAATGAGCTCTTACCTCCATCCCCATTTGATTCTAACTGTATACGAGTAGCACTCATTCCATTCATATTGCATGTCTGCATGATACGATACCACTCCCATTCTAAAAACCCTCCCCCCTTTTTTTTCTTTCTATGTGCCCCCTCCAATATTTCGGAGGTATACTGAAGTCACAATTCAATGCATGGATTGATGTTTCTAAGTCCCTGACTTCTTTCAAGAATTAGTTTTAAAAGAATTTAGGACTGCATGTTTTGCAAATTATACTGCATGTTCACTCCGCTTTTGTTCCATCCTGTCCATTATTTACGGACACAATTTGTTCTTTTCTTCCCCTAAAATGCATGAAATTGGTGCCATTTACCCAACCAATCATTTAATCATTCATCCATCCATCCATCCACCCTATTGAAAATCAATTCAATTTGGAATTGTTTTCAATTTTAGGTCTTATTTTTTCAGGTAAAGAGGGAGAAATTTGTCAAGAAATTTTAATTTTGTAGTACAATTCTCAAGCATACGGTAATTAATTTTCATGTATTGTTTTGTTAAAATGGGATCGTATGGTTAGATATACCCCTATACCGGTATGTAGCCCTCAAAAGATAAAAGAGCTCATTTATTGAAACATGTCATTACTCTGTTTTCTCTTGTTCTCTCGTTCTCTCAATCCTCCCCTTTCCAACCCTTTCCTCCTCCTCCTCCTCCTCCTCCTTCTCCTCCTTCTCCTCTTCCTCCTCCTCCTCTTTCTCCTTCTCCTTCTCCTCCTTCTCCTCTTCCTCCTCCTCCTTCTCCTCCTCCTCTTCCTCCTCCTTCTCCTCTTTCTCCTTCTCCTTCTCCTCCTTCTCCTCTTCCTCCTTCTCCTTCTCCCCCTTTCTCACCCCTCCTCCCTTTCTCCTCCCTTTCTCACTCTGCTGCCTCCCTGTCCAATATGAACTTTTTTTCCATTCTTCACCCTTACTGCATAACCTTAATCATATCTACCTCTCCCTCCCTCCCTGACCCTTACCCTATCCCTCTGATTTACCCCTTCCAAACACCCCTCAACCATTTCCTTCCCAACAATGCTCTTTTCTTTTTTTTATACACCAATACCCCCTTCCCAACTTTAATCTTCATGTATATCTCTCTCCCGCACAATCATCTTGCCTCCAATGCTTTAAACTTGTATTCTTGTCCCATCTCTTTCTTTACTTGTTACTCCCTTTTTTCTACCCTAATCTCACCCCACCCCACTACTTTTACCACTCTTTTACCCTCTTCCCCCACACCCTATACCACTTTGATGTCTCTTCCCCACCCTCATTACTACTCTGACGCCCCCTCTTCAACTCTACACCCCTCTCTTGCCCCCCGCCCCCTCCCCACCTCACACCTTTCAAACGTTCCTTACCCACACATCCCACCCCACCCCCAATACCAATCTGATGCCCCCATCCCCTACCCCTATACCACTCCGTTACCCCCATTCCCCACCCTCAGGACACCGGGTCCCATGACCGTATGGGTAGCGGTAGCGACAGCCAACATACCTCCCCCCGGGGTGGGGGCGATGACCGCAGCAGCAACGGGAACGTCAACGAGGACGGGAGTGCCAGCTGGGCTGGCGGACAATCCAACCTCGACTTCAGTATTCAGCCGATAGAGGGCGCTTCGTTCGATGACGGCCGGGATTCACGTAGCAGTAGTAAACACTGAGACTCTACTGGGAGAGAATGTGAAACCCACAGATTTTGAGGACTTTCTTTTTTGTATCTCTTTCACTCTCTCTCTGTGTCCCTTTCTAGGTTTTTATTTGACATATATCCACATGTTACGAGGGATGTTTTGAATTTAACAATTACAATCTGTACCTGGTATTCAGTCTTTGGTAGCTTAACTTCTTCATTTATTCTTTTTTTTTCAAGTAGCATGCAGATTACAGCTGTTTGTCAGAATCAATTTGGATATTTTATTCAGATCTTCAAACATATTACGCAATTTTTTTTTAACGGAGCATCATTTGCTTCTTTTTCTGTGCCAAAATGCAAAGAAAAAAATCATGCATTGTCTGATCCTAAAAATGTTTTCAAGATTGAGCCTTTTTCTAATGACAAGCAATTATTTGCTTTTGATTATGTTCTTTTCAGAAAAGTGAAACTATGGTCGTAAGTTTCTGTCAACATCAAGATAACCTATACATCATTTCCGAATTTTTGATAATTCAAAAGAAAAATCAATCAATGTTTCATGAAAGGGATGTACTTGATAGACAAATAAATACACATCGCCATGCTACAATACGATACATGTAATTGAAAAGCAATTATTAAAGTAAAAGAAAATAAACTCACTTAAAAAATAGAAATACTAATACTTCAAGACTGGACAGTATTAGACAAGTTTACCCATTTATTGAAATCATGTAATACTGTTTGTATCAGAAGTTCCTGAAGGCTTGTTGGAGCCTTGCAACAATTAGTCAATATCACAAAAGCTACTTATGAATAGCTTTTAAAATGTGCAGCATAATCCTTTTTTTGTTTGTAGTACATAATATCTTAAATGATTTAATTTTCTTTCAAAGTGAAGAATTTGTAGCTAAGAGTTATGGACTTTCATTCGTTTTCAATGATGTCTTTCGAAGTAAATAGATATTCAGCTCAACATCGTGTATGTCGAAAAAATGGGTATGTAAAGGCATTCCGCCATCTTTTTTTAAATAGACAACATTAATCTTATTTCAGTCCTTTCGTAGCTAAAAGGAATTTCTTATCTTTCACCATTGGTTGCAAGATGAATTGATAATATATTCTTTATTTTTTAGATCCTCTAAACGAGATCAAGACAGGATTTTATTTCTCTGGGCTTTCATACCAGGGAAAATATTTTTTATTAATTTATTCAACCTGTTTTGAATCTTAAGGGGCATCAGGAAATGAACATTCAAATTCAAGTAAAAATGCACCAAGAAAAGGGGTCATGGAATTGTCGAATTTGCGGAAATCGTTGCTATTTTAATTTAGATTATTTTCCCATGTTTTCTCACTATAGAATAATAATTCAGGAAATTTTGTCTGTTCTTTTATTGGACAGGTTTCAATTGTACATACAAATTTCAGAAACCAGGATATATGTTTTGAAGAGGATTCTTATTTAAGTCACTGAGCCCCAGGACTATTCATTGGTTGCTCGAAAGACCTCACAGAGTGGACATTTTAAGGCTTAAACAATTTTTTTATTTATAACCTCCTTGCCAATTTTTTTTTATAAACAGAAGGTGTAAAGTATCGGACGAAATATTGACGATGGTTTGTGAGAAATATGAAATAACGTTTATTCATCTTAATTGTGTCTCTTTCATTGTACAAATCCATCATGCTTTGAAACAAAAAAAATATCATGTTTTGTATCCTGAAAAAAAAAATGATTAGCAGTGATGTATTGTTACTGCTTCTGTTTCTGCTCATAAATATTTTGTTTTTGTTAATGTGACTCCATTTAAGGTGCCAAACGTAAGTAGGAAGTTCCGGGACAGGGCGCCCTAGATGAAGTTGGGGGTGGGGTACAAATTTAAGGGCCAGTCATATGTCGCCAATAACAATGGAGATGATTATATTAACTTTAAAATCTGTTGATGTAGAAAAGGTTTTGGATATTGATGTTGCTTAATGATTTATGCTATGATGCCTCCAATTCTGTTTTTTTCTTTCTTCTTCTTCCCAGATCCAGTACCTTTTCTACGAAAAAATATTTTAAAGTTTCAGTTATCATCAGTAATACATGACTGGCCCGTAAAAAAAAAATACTTTGCCGTTAATTGTTTCTAGACACTGATATATACACATACCAGTTTAGTATTCAGTCAAGACTTAGTTGAGTAAGCTTGATTTCAATTGCCAAAATACATTCATTCTCGCAATGTGATTTACAGGAATTTTCATAGCCCAGTTTGTTTTAATTTTATTTAAGGTAGCTTAAAGAATTGAAACTTCCTTCACATGTGGCTTTTCTTGTTTCATGGAGCTAGCTCCACCCCATCCACCCCTTGCTGGTGTTTTATTTCCTTTTTAATAGCAAACCTGCTATCTGTGATTTCAACTGGAGTCCAAAGTTATCATGTGAGGATACAATGTTACGTCATGTACATAATAAACATTGTATCACTGGAGTCCGAGGGTTTCCTTGTCTTCTACAAGCAAGTCAAGAGTTGAGATGAGGATGGCTTGAGCGATGTGAGCTTTGGACATAAAGAGGATGATGGTTGTGGTGGTAATGATTATGATGATGATGATTGTGATCATGTGTGTGGTGGTAATGATTATGATGATGATGATGATTATGATAATGGTGGTGATGGTGGTGATGAGTAGGAGGAGGAAGAAGATGATGACGATGGTGTTGATTGAAGTGATGCTGATAATAGAAGCAGGAAAAGGATGATGAATATGATCAAGAAGGTGAGGAGGAGGTATCTAGCAGCAATGGTGGTAATCCTAATGATGATGAAAATATGATGGTGATCATGATCATGAAAAGGAGGAGAGTAAATGTGTTAAAGTGATGATGATTATCATGGTGATAAGGATTTTTTATTCACCAGTCATTTTGACAGTGTGGCCATATCCCACTACTGCCACTTCACCAATGAAAAAAAAACTAAACTCGCACCATAGAGGTCTTGATAATATTGTGAATAACATGTATGGGGGAAAAAATACAATAACTTCTAAAACTGGGTGAGGTAAAACTCATTAAAAAGCACTTCCCCTCTCTCTCTCTCTCTCTCTTTAGCTCTTCTCTCTTTCTCCCTCTCTTTCTCTCACTTTCTCTCTCTTGCTCTCTCTTTCTCATTCAAACCGAGTCCTCCTGTGTCAATGAAAATGACATGATAATGATGAGGATGATTTGATCATATCCCACCGCTGCCAACAAACCAATGAAAACAAATCAAGGGTAGGGTGGGGGTGGGGTGGATGTAGGATGGTAGTAGAGGTAGAATGGAAGAACAGAAAGGGTGGTAGTAGACGTAGGGAGGTAGAACGGGTAAGGTGGGGGTAGAGTGGGGGGGGGTGGACGTAGGATGGTAGTAGAGGTAAGATGGTAGAATGGGTAAGGTAGGGGTAGCTGTAGGATGGTAGTAGAGGTAAAATGGAAGAACAGGTAGGGTGGGGTGGGGTGGATGTAGGATGGTAGTAGAGGTAGAATGGAAGAAGGGGTAGGGTGGGGGTGGACGTAGGATGGTAGTAGAGGTAGGATTGCAGTAGAGATAAAATGGAAGAACAGGTATAGGTTGGGGGTGGAGTGGAAGTAGGATGGTAGTAGAGGTAGGATGGCAGTAGAGGTACAATGGAAGAAGGGGTAGGGTGGGGGTAGGATGGTAGTAGAGATAGGATTGTAGTAGAGGTAAAATGGAAGAACAGGTAGGGTGGGGGTGGGGTGGATGTAGGATGGTAGTAGAGGTAGGATGGTAGTAGAGATAAAATGGAAGAACAGGTAGGGTGGGGGAAGGTAGGATGTAGGATGGTAGTAGAGGTAGGATGGCAGTAGAGGTACAATGGAAGAAGGGGTCGGGTGGGGGTAGAGTGGGGGTGGACGTAGGATGGTAGTAGAGGTAAAATGGAAGAACAGGGAGGGTGGGGTAGATGTAGGATGGTAGTAGAGGAAGGATGATAGTAGAGGTAGAATGGAAGAACAGGTAGGGTGGTAGTAGAGGTAGGATGGTAGTAGAGTAGAATGGAAGAAGGGGTAGGGTGGGGGTAGAGTGGGGGATGGACGTAGGATGGTAGTAGAGGTATCATGGTAGAATGGGTAGGGTGGGGGTGGACGTAGGATGGGTGAATGGGTAGGGTGGCAGTGGAGTGGATGTAGGATGGTAGTAGAGGTAAAATGGAAGAACAGGTAGGGTGGGAATGGGGTGGATGTAGGATGGTAGTAGAGGTAGGATGGTAGAATGGGTAGGGTGGGGGTGGACGTAGGATGGGTGAATGGGTAGGGTGGGGGTGGGGTGGATGTAGGATGGTAGTAGAGGTAGAATGGAAGAACAGAAAGGGTGGTAGTAGACGTAGGGAGGTAGAACGGGTAAGGTGGGGGTAGAGTGGGGGGGGGGGTGGACGTAGGATGGTAGTAGAGGTAAGATGGTAGAATGGGTAAGGTAGGGGTAGCTGTAGGATGGTAGTAGAGGTAAAATGGAAGAACAGGTAGGGTGGGGTGGGGTGGATGTAGGATGGTAGTAGAGGTAGAATGGAAGAAGGGGTAGGGTGGGGGTGGACGTAGGATGGTAGTAGAGGTAGGATTGCAGTAGAGGTAAAATGGAAGAACAGGTATAGGTTGGGGGTGGGGTGGAAGTAGGATGGTAGTAGAGGTAGGATGGCAGTAGAGGTACAATGGAAGAAGGGGTAGGGTGGGGGTAGGATGGTAGTAGAGATAGGATTGTAGTAGAGGTAAAATGGAAGAACAGGTAGGGTGGGGGTGGGGTGGATGTAGGATGGTAGTAGAGGTAGGATGGTAGTAGAGATAAAATGGAAGAACAGGTAGGGTGGGGGAAGGTAGGATGTAGGATGGTAGTAGAGGTAGGATGGCAGTAGAGGTACAATGGAAGAAGGGGTCGGGTAGGGGTAGAGTGGGGGTGGACGTAGGATGGTAGTAGAGGTAAAATGGAAGAACAGGGAGGGTGGGGTAGATGTAGGATGGTAGTAGAGGAAGGATGATAGTAGAGGTAGAATGGAAGAACAGGTAGGGTGGTAGTAGAGGTAGGATGGTAGTAGAGTAGAATGGAAGAAGGGGTAGGGTGGGGGTAGAGTGGGGGATGGACGTAGGATGGTAGTAGAGGTATCATGGTAGAATGGGTAGGGTGGGGGTGGACGTAGGATGGGTGAATGGGTAGGGTGGCGGTGGAGTGGATGTAGGATGGTAGTAGAGGTAAAATGGAAGAACAGGTAGGGTGGGAATGGGGTGGATGTAGGATGGTAGTAGAGGTAGGATGGTAGAATGGGTAGGGTGGGGGTGGACGTAGGATGGGTGAATGGGTAGGGTGGGGGTGGGGTGGATGTAGGATGGTAGTAGAGGTAGAATGGAAGAACAGAAAGGGTGGTAGTAGACGTAGGGAGGTAGAACGGGTAAGGTGGGGGTAGAGTGGGGGGGGGGTGGACGTAGGATGGTAGTAGAGGTAAGATGGTAGAATGGGTAAGGTAGGGGTAGCTGTAGGATGGTAGTAGAGGTAAAATGGAAGAACAGGTAGGGTGGGGTGGATGTAGGATGGTAGTAGAGGTAGAATGGAAGAAGGGGTAGGGTGGGGGTGGACGTAGGATGGTAGTAGAGGTAGGATTGCAGTAGAGGTAAAATGGAAGAACAGGTATAGGTTGGGGGTGGGGTGGAAGTAGGATGGTAGTAGAGGTAGGATGGCAGTAGAGGTACAATGGAAGAAGGGGTAGGGTGGGGGTAGGATGGTAGTAGAGATAGGATTGTAGTAGAGGTAAAATGGAAGAACAGGTAGGGTGGGGGTGGGGTGGATGTAGGATGGTAGTAGAGGTAGGATGGTAGTAGAGATAAAATGGAAGAACAGGTAGGGTGGGGGAAGGTAGGATGTAGGATGGTAGTAGAGGTAGGATGGCAGTAGAGGTACAATGGAAGAAGGGGTCGGGTGGGGGTAGAGTGGGGGTGGACGTAGGATGGTAGTAGAGGTAAAATGGAAGAACAGGGAGGGTGGGGTAGATGTAGGATGGTAGTAGAGGAAGGATGATAGTAGAGGTAGAATGGAAGAACAGGTAGGGTGGTAGTAGAGGTAGGATGGTAGTAGAGTAGAATGGAAGAAGGGGTAGGGTGGGGGTAGAGTGGGGGATGGACGTAGGATGGTAGTAGAGGTATCATGGTAGAATGGGTAGGGTGGGGGTGGACGTAGGATGGGTGAATGGGTAGGGTGGCGGTGGAGTGGATGTAGGATGGTAGTAGAGGTAAAATGGAAGAACAGGTAGGGTGGGAATGGGGTGGATGTAGGATGGTAGTAGAGGTAGGATGGTAGAATGGGTAGGGTGGGGGTGGACGTAGGATGGGTGAATGGGTAGGGTGGGGGTGGGGTGGATGTAGGATGGTAGTAGAGGTAGAATGGAAGAACAGAAAGGGTGGTAGTAGACGTAGGGAGGTAGAACGGGTAAGGTGGGGGTAGAGTGGGGGGGGGGGTGGACGTAGGATGGTAGTAGAGGTAAGATGGTAGAATGGGTAAGGTAGGGGTAGCTGTAGGATGGTAGTAGAGGTAAAATGGAAGAACAGGTAGGGTGGGGTGGATGTAGGATGGTAGTAGAGGTAGAATGGAAGAAGGGGTAGGGTGGGGGTGGACGTAGGATGGTAGTAGAGGTAGGATTGCAGTAGAGGTAAAATGGAAGAACAGGTATAGGTTGGGGGTGGGGTGGAAGTAGGATGGTAGTAGAGGTAGGATGGCAGTAGAGGTACAATGGAAGAAGGGGTAGGGTGGGGGAAGGATGGTAGTAGAGATAGGATTGTAGTAGAGGTAAAATGGAAGAACAGGTAGGGTGGGGGTGGGGTGGATGTAGGATGGTAGTAGAGGTAGGATGGTAGTAGAGATAAAATGGAAGAACAGGTAGGGTGGGGGAAGGGTGGATGTAGGATGGTAGTAGAGGTAGGATGGCAGTAGAGGTACAATGGAAGAAGGGGTCGGGTGGGGGTAGAGTGGGGGTGGACGTAGGATGGTAGTAGAGGTAAAATGGAAGAACAGGGAGGGTGGGTGGATGGTAGAGGTAAGGATGATAGTAGAGGTAAGGATGGAGAAGAGGTAGAATGGAAGAACAGGTAGGGTAGTAGTAGGTAGGATGGTAGTAGAGTAGAATGGAAGAAGGGGTAGGGTGGGGGTAGAGTGGGGGATGGACGTAGGATGGTAGTAGAGGTATCATGGTAGAATGGGTAGGGTGGGGGTGGACGTAGGGTGGGTATATGGGTAGGGTGGGGGTGGAGTGGATGTAGGATGGTAGTAGAGGTAAAATGGAAGAACAGGTAGGGTGGGAATCAGGTGGATGTAGGATGGTAGTAGAGGTAGGATGGTAGTAGAGGTAGAATGGAAGAAGGGGTAGGGTGGGGGTGGACGTAGGATAGTAGTAGACTGGATTGCAGTAGAGGTAAAATGGAAGAACAGGTAGGGTGGGGGTGGGGTGGAAGTAG